CTAGGCCGTTGCGATTTTCCCCCTAGGCTCCCGCTTAGGAAACCGGCCGCCTAGGTGCCCGCCTAGCGCCTAACTCGGCCGATTACACCGAGTTAACTCGTCAATTTCTGTCGAGTTAGCCGAGTTAACCCGGCCGACTCGACCTTGCTAATTTTTTTCATATATATATATATATATATATATATATATATATATATATATATATATATATATATGACATATATGCACCTACACACATGCACTGTTTTTCTTTTTTTCAGTTAGCCGCCTAGGCGGTGCTTAGGCCCCGCCTAGGCCATCTAGGCGCTAGGCGCTACTCTACCGCCCAACTAGTGCCTAGCGCCAACCATGGTAAATATTGAAGCTAGCTATAACCTTCTTTGCTCACACGAGTTTAGCTTAATATTTCAGTAGGTAGTATTTATGAGAAGAGATCAATGTTCAAACTTCGACAACGACAATGTAAGAATTATGTTTAAAATGAGCACATCGTTCCTTATACGCATCAACATTTTACTCTATCCGCTGAATTATAAATAACTATAATTTATATCCTCTCAAATATTCTATTAGGTCGAAATTTAAAAAACTCTTGAGATTGGAAATTTAACCATTTGGTAACATTCCTTACAAATACAAGACCCCACGAATGCCCATAGTCCCATACACTGCACCATGCTTCTCACCTTCTGCATGCATTTACTATCAACTTTTGCACGCCAGCCGAGGGTCCCCACCTGCCCTACACTCCTACACCATTGGAGTTCTATTTTTTTTTTCTTTTTCATTTTTAATTCTTATCCATAAAATCATATAATTTATTTGAAGAGTAAATATTCAAAATGGTCCATCGACTATAGCTAAATTTATAAATTGGTCATCGACTTTTAATTTCAACCAATTAAGTCCTTAACTTTGTAATTTTGACACGATTTGGTCATCCATCTATTTGACCGTTTGTTGACCGTGATCGACGATCTCCAGAAGAACCTTCAGCTCTTGTCGGAGCACGTGGAGCCTCCAGGATGACGTTGCACTGGTTCAGAAACACGTCGTCGTGTTCGCTCTAGTACGAACTCAACTACATTGAATCCAAAAGGAGGATGAAGAAAGGCGACCAGATTTGGTAGACTGCTTTCGGCAGTGGATTCAAATGTAATAGTGCGGTCTGGAAATGCAACCAGAACCTTAAAAAACCGACGATGGACCATGAAATTACATATATATCCTCAAAAATCACAGTCAACAAACGGTCAAATAGATAGAGGACCAAATTGTGTTAAAATTACAAAGTTAAGGACTTAATTGGTTGAAATTAAAAGTCGAGGACCAATTTGTGAATTTAGCTATAGTCGAGGGACCATTTTGGGTATTTACTCTTATTTGAATTATAATGAATACTGTCAATGTTTATTATCACAACTTAACGCAACAAAATCAGTGTAATTAGATATATCAATATATCATACATAGAGCCGTCAAAATGGGCTTAGCCCGCCGGGCTTTCCTGTCCCGCCCGCCAAAAGGATGGGGTGGGCTCATGTTTTTTAAGCCTGTTTTAAAAATGGGCTTTTTTGCTCGCCCCGCCTAGCCCGCGGGCTGACGGGCTAGCCCGCCAGCCCGCCTTTTTTTTTTTTAGTTACTAATATATATATATATATATATATATATATATATATATATATATATATATATATATATATATATATATATATATAAAATAAAATTAATATATATAATATGTATAATATAATAACCGTTATCGGTCGGTTCGGTTATCAGTTTTTGGTAATTATATTTACCCCTATTGTTGTCATGTTGTGATGAACGAATTTATGTTATTTTCTTATGAATAAGTGTTTTAAGTAGATAGCAATTGAGTTATTAACATAGTCACATTAGAGTTTAGATTTTAGGGACACATCACACATTCACACATGATTAAAAAAAAAAAAAAAAAAAAAAAAAAAAAAGCGGGGTTTGGTGGGGGCCCGCGGGCCTAAGGCGGGGCGGGGCGGGCTGCCCCTACCTAAGTCTGTATTCTTGGCGGGCTTTTTCGCCCGCCCCGCCAACCCGCATTGACAGCTCTAATCATACATGGTTGTACTTAGTGCCCATGAGCACCTTAAGAATTTCGAAACTAGTTATATAATAATGTCAAGTATATATAATGTTAACTATAATAAATAAATGGATAGAAAATATAATTTGACATTTTGTAAATAGTGAAAATTAATTTAAAATCCTATTTACAAGAAAGCTAAGTCACACATCACATTAGATAGGATCATTAGATAATTATTTTTATTTATTGGATATTTTGAATTGAGCTTACCCTTGGTTAAGAAAATGAAATTACTTATTAATTAATTAGGAATCATATATTTTTAGAAAAATGGTATTTTTATTCCTTGTGTTATATATTTATAACATTTTTTTCTCCTGAATTATTTAAGTGGCAGTTCCCCCCCTCTTCCCCCCTCCTCTAATACGTTAGACATATTTACCCTTAAAATAAATATTTCATTTATTTTTTTCTCCAACAAATTATAACCACAATGTGATTCAAGGGAGAAAAGTGCCATTTTCCCTATATTTTCATGTCCGTCGTTGAAAAACTATGGTAAGAAATTTTGATTCCTATATAATATATATAACTTAACTTTATGACTCTATTTCTGTTTTGGTTCATTAATATACTGTTATTTGGTTGGTTTTCAAAAATATATAACTTAACTTTATGTAAATTATTTTTTGAGTGATGCGAGAAATTCACAATCACTGAAAAAACACGTGGATCTTGAATGCAAGAAATAACCTAAAGGTTCCTACTAAATTTTTAAAGCAATTACTAAGTTGAACTAGCACCAGGGTCTACTCCATACAGAATAAACAATTAACTTAGGAAAGCAAAAAGGAATCGTGCACCAGGAGATGTTCACGCAGTTCGGAGCCTCACTACTACGTGTGCGGGGCCGCTCACTTCAACCCAAATCCACTAGAAGAATAAACGGAGTACAAATAGAAAAGATAACATTACACTTTGAAGTATAAACAATATCTACTCTAGAACCTACTCCAGCGACTATGTGAACTTGACATGCAGGCTATCTTCTTTGCATCACGAACTCTTCGTGAAATCTTCTTCAACAGTACATCACCGAACAGATATGAGAGTAGAGTATTTCATAATAGTATGAGTGAATTTCCTCTTTAAAAGTCGTGAATTGAAATGCTAAACAAAGTAGCATTTTATAGAGGTATTGAAGTGCTTCCTTGATCCAAGAAAGTGGATCTTAAAACTTCTCATTTTAAGCTGCACCTTTTGATTAAAGATCTCCCTGAAAATCGAGTCTTGACTAAGAGATCTTTGACCGGGTTTCTCCCTAGATGTCTCACCTCCTGGCGCTGATCCAGTGACTAAAAACTTAACTAATTTTGACAACTATTTTTAGCCAACTATAAGAGGGTCTAATGTGTAACATTTTACACTTACAATCACAAGTTGAGAATTCATGATCTTTCAAGTATAAAAATAATATTGTATCCACTTGACTACTCTTTCTAGCTCTTGTGTAAATTTTTACTATAGGAGTGTATGAATTATTACTCATTTAAAATTGAAGTAAAATTATAGTAGTTAGCTTATTAAGAGTTAATTCCAGCAATGGTCCTCCGAGTATGATGATTTTTCACAATTGGTCATCGACTTTTAATTTGAACAATTTAACCACCCGACTATCAAATTCTTTCCAATTGAGGTCATTCCGTCAATGTCTGGTTAAGTGACCGTCTATTTGAGGGCTAAAACCGTCATTTCCCTTACTCAGCGTATAATCATCTTAGTTCCCCCTGTATACGTGAATGAATACGGCGTATAATCATCTTAGTTCCCCTGTATACGTGAATGAATACGGCGTATAATCATCTTCATTCCCTATGCTCTATTTTGTCTTGAGATTCTCATAACAACATCTTCTTCAATTCTTCTCCTACCCAGCAGTGCATTCCTGAAGTTCATCATTTCTTGAGCTTGTGAGCATGAGATTCTCATTCTCCCCACACTCACACTCGGCCATGTAGTTAGGGAAGTTGCCGAAGCTTCTGAAGTAGGAGCTCTCCACGCCGACACTGTTCGCCGGCGTGACCGGGGTGTTGGAGCCGCAAGAATAGGGGAATATTCTTGGGGTGCTTTGCGCCATTGAGAACCGGCACTCGTCGCATGCGGCGATCGTCCCCCAGTCGAAATAATCGTAGGGGTGCCAGCAGTCGATTATCGACGAGCGCGCCAGAATTCGACACGAGAGCGGAGAAGAAAATGATGGGTCGTCGACGGCAGCGCCGTATGCTTCGTCCCCAGGCTCCGACACCCAAGTGTTGGCCTTCCTCGGCCTTCTGCCGGCGCCGGTGGGCCTAAACGCCGAGTCTATCTCTACAATCTTTGGGTTGTCGTCATTTCCGTTGGTTGAAACCTCAAACGTCGATGGGTGTCTTCCTAACAATTTTGATCTTAGGGTTTACATTTGAGAGGTTTGGAGATTTTGATTTAATTGGCGTATTCCAAACAATTTTGATTTTATTTCGCGTATACATTGGGGAATTAAGAGGATTATACGTTAAGTAAGGGAAATGACGATTTTAGCCCTCAAATAGACGCCCATTTAACTAGACATTGACGGAAGGACCTCAATTGGAAAGAATTTGATAGTCGAGTGATTAAATTGTTCAATTAAAAGTTGATGATCAATTGTGAAAAATCATTATACTTGGAGGACCATTACTGGAACTTGAGTTCTATTATATGTACTCTCAATTTTTATTCTTTTATATGACAATTAATTATTTTTATCATGTGATTTCAATAAAAATGTCAAAATCAATTTTTTCTCAAAGTAAGAATAATAAAATTTGGGAGTATGAGTTTCCCATCTACTCCTTCCTACCCACATGTGCATTTACTGACACCCTTTTGGTAAGCATCCTAACCTAATTCCTCTTTCTCTCTCTTTCTCTCTCTTTCTCTACTTGTGTGGAAAGACAGCAGTCAACCACAAAGCTAAGGAAAGGAAAGGAAAGGCAACCCCACTAGTTCCACTTGTTCATTTGTTTTTGGCTCAAAATACATTTGTTTTCTGCAACAGCTTCATCTCCGTTTTTCTCCTCTCTAGCTAGCTAGCTAGGATTTTGTGTGTTTGCCAATTGGACAAATGTTTGTTGGATCACACTCAAACCAAAATTTCTTAGCTGCCCAACCTAAACCCTCAACTTTAATTTCTTTTCCTTTTTCTACAAAATAATGGAATTTATGGAGCCACATACACATTCTAGTAGTAGTAGAAATAATAATGGTGCTAGTAGCTCCGACCACCACCGTCCACCGCCGCCACAAGCTCAAGAGCCGCCGCCGCCGCCCTCTTCTCTCCAGCTGGTTTCACACCAAAGTCAACCTGACCCACCCACCCATGGTCCCTTCATTGGCTCCATTTCTGGGAAATCTGCAAGAACCCCCACCCACCCTCTTCTCTCTCCGCCGCCTTCTAACGCCGCTAATAATAGCAATTCCGGGAACAAGTTGGTGAAGAAACCGTCCAAGGACCGGCACACGAAGGTGGACGGGCGAGGGCGGCGGATTAGGATGCCGGCGTTGTGCGCCGCCAGGGTGTTCCAGCTCACCAGAGAATTGGGTCATAAGTCCGATGGGGAGACCATAGAGTGGCTCTTGCATCAGGCGGAGCCGGCTGTTATCGCCGCCACAGGGACGGGTACGATTCCGGCTAATTTCTCCACTCTCAACGTGTCTTTGCGCGGCGGTGGGACTACGATTTCCGCTCCGCCCTCCAAACCCGCGCCGCTCTTCATCCACGGCGGCGGCGCCGCCTTCCACCGCCACTTCTCACTCACCGGAGGAGGAGTCCAAGATAACGAACCGGGCTCAGATCCCAAACCCGCCTCGTCTCACCCCTCCACCTTCATTCCTGCTCCGGCCATGTGGGCGGTGGCAGCACCGGCGGCCGGAAACGCCGGCAATTCCTTCTGGATGCTTCCCCTGAGCGGGGGTGCTACAAGCGGGACCCCCACCGTAGCTCAGCCGGAGCAACCCCACTTGTGGCAGTACAAGGGATCAGGCGGATTCGAGTTCCCCGGCGGCCGGTTCAGTCCGGTACATTTAGGCGCCGCGCAGCCGGTTCAGCAGCTAGGACTGGGCGTCTCAGAGAGCAACATGGGAATGCTGCCCTCCGCCGCCGCCATTAACGCCGCCGCGTACACCACTAGCTCTAACATTAAGATGGTTGATTTGGGCATGACTTTGGAACAACATCAACATCATGGCCGCCATGATAATAATCAGAACCAGCAGCCTCAAGGCAGTGACAGTGGAGGTGAAAACCCCAAAGATTCTGAATGATAATGTCGATGCCCTTGCCCTAGGATATATTCCATTTCATTTCTTTATTTGCTTCAATTGAATAATCCATTTCCAAATTTAGCCACTCTAATTTGGAGTTCAAAAAAAATGGCTCATTGTAAATGTTGTCAAATTACTTTCTCAAACATTTTTAGTTCAAAGAATCTAAACTCTATCAAATGATTTAACCACTCGTTTAAAATGATAGTCAGGACGTCTTCACACAACTACATGGTAGTTGACTCCCACATTTCGACCCAACAGAACATATGAAAGGATGTAAATCATGATAATTCGACTGAATACTGAGGCTAGACCTTTATTTAATGTGCACAAGAACAATTGATTGTCTTTATTATTGTTATATATTTTGAAGTTGAGTGTTTGGTACTTAGAGATAAGGTTTGAGATAGATGGCCGGAGCATTTAGTTAAGGTTGGTTGGGGTATGTTTTTTGGCATGTTTGGGGAGCAAGCTAAACATGGAGAATTGTTGATTTCCGGATTTGAATGAGTACTTCTATATGTATTTCTATTTCATACTCTCATTTTTTACTCTCTATAATTTAATATGCTTTGATTGTTCAATTTTAATTTATAGGGGGTCATGATGTTTATTTATTTTTTCTTTTCTTCTTACAATTAAATTTAAACATAAGTTAAAATAAAAGTTGGGAGTAAACTTTTAAGAGAATATGTAGTGTTTTTCGGTTTGAATTGGTAATTGATGGGATTTTTGGATTCTTCATGGAGGCTAACATAAAGAAAGAATCCTAGATCTAGATATCCTATGTCTGATAATTTGAGAGTGTACGTCACTCTGTGTTCAAATCAATTGAATATAATGGAGGGATTGATGCTATACCATTATTTACTATTTTACTTATTACGGTTTTCTTTCTTTTTTTAAGTTTTACTACATGTATTTTCAATTTTTAATGTTTAATTTTTCTTTAATGTAGTGAATATTGATAATATTTTTTTTCTTTAATGTGGGCCACATTACCAACATTTTGAGTGCATGAATAAATGGGTAGAAGTAGAGAATGAGAGTATACTATTTTTGTTTATGTCCACTTTCAATTTTCAAACACTATTTTCTACCTCAATCATTACCCAATATTAATATTTATTTACAAGAAAGAAAAATAATTCTAAATAAAATTTTGATCATGCATTTGATTTTATTGAAAAATAAGAAAAGAAATAAAAATTGTGACTCTTTTTTTTTTTTTAATAAACAAACTAAAGTATGCTATATTAGCGGGATAAAAAATAGAGAGTGATTTTAGACTTTCGGTATGTATATATGTTCATTGATAAGTTGACATTGTAATTTGTAATTATAATATATTGTATATGCATTTAAAAAAAAAAAAAAAAAAAAAAAAAAAAAAAAAAAAAAAAAAAAGAGCCTAGTCAATATGGTCAAATGATTTTTTTTTTTTTTTTTTGAAAAAGTTAAATTCCAACTTTCGATTCCTTTATTATTGTATTTTTCTATCAACCAAATTTAATAATCTGACTATTATAAATGTGTTATTTTTACATTTTAATTAATCAGTAGAACACCATATGCTATTAATTTTGAATTCGATAATTAAAAGTGAAAAATGAGAAATCAAAATTAAAATGAAATATATCTGTATTTCAATTGGGAGAGAGAAATTGATTAATGAAAATGTGTATGACCGACCAGTCGTTATCCAAATCACTGTGATCCGTTAGAAATCTCTAACAGTGTATTATTATACACAAAACACCAAAGATGTGATGATGACAGTAGGCAGATATGCATGATTGTATATATATTTTAAATTCCATATATATAATTTTTTGGAATAATATTTTAAATTCCATTGAGTGGTTGTAATTTGTAAATGACCGGCCCCTCCCCAATCCCAATCACTAATTTCTCTTATTTTCTTCATCAACCTTAGTTTTATTCAAACTTTGTGGCGAATATTTAATCTTCTGCGACTTCACTTCACTTGACTTGGCAACCTAATTAGGAGGGTTAGTGAGGAGATTTCAGTAAATTACTCGTGTTTGTGTTCAGTATTAAGATAAGCAAATATAATTGAACAAATTTTAGAGTTTGTTTAATAAACAAACATAGTCTGAATATTTGTAGGTTCATTTGCTAAGAGCTCATGAACAAGCTCGTTAGTGTAAGTTTAATAATATTCATGAACAAACTCGTTTAGTGTTTGTTTAATAACGTTCAAAGACATGCTCTTTAGTGTTCGTTTAAGATTGTTCATGACCAAACTCATTTAACGAACGGTGATAATGAATATGTACATGTGTTTGTTAACTTTGTTTATATTATCTTATTCATAAATGCATTCATGAATGTTAACAAACACGTTTACGAACATTAATAAACACTAATAAACACTTAACGAATAAAATTTTTAAAAATCTTAATAAACAAACACAAACACTCTAAAAATCTTAATAAACAAACGCAAACACCTGCTATTCATTCATGTTTGACTCATTAACAACCATAAATTAATCCTCAACACAACGTTAATTGCTATATCTGTCCTTGAAATTGTTGATATACGTGTAATGCCGCGGGCCCCGTGGGACATTTCGCTACTCACTTTCTCTTTCATTTTCCAAGTTTTAATTATTTTAAAAATTAAAATACATTTAAATTAACATGTCTCATAATCAAGTCATTCCATAAAATCCGTCCGGGACAAAAAATAGAGTTCTTCATTGATTACAATAACAAATTTACAATGAGTAATCCTATTCACCACAAAAATAAAAATAAAATAATTCCCTCATAATTTTCCTCATGACATGCACTCGTTTAATTGGTTAATTTACTTTTTCATTACAAATTAGTAAGGTCAACCAATTCATGACATTTAATATTTGTTCTCAAAATGTTGAATTCCCAACTCCAAAACATGTTATGGAGAGAATTTATACTATCTTTATTCCTGAAATTCTCTCACTTTCAAAAGTGGGTCATACATCCATATCATTAAATTTGTAATTTATTCACAATTTTTTTACATCACTGCAATAATTTCTTACTTTTAAATGTGTACTCACTTTCACATCACATTTAATAATAATACTATAACAATAAATTAATAATAAAATAAAAATAAAAATAAAAATAAAAATAAAAATAAAATCAAAGACAAAAACTTGCAATCTTTCATATTTTGAAAGTTCGCAAGCTATGTGTCATTAAAAAAAAAATTAAAAAACAAAAGAAAAAGCCATATAGATTTGAAAGGGGTGAAAATTACAGGGATAATTTCAGTCTAGCCCGTTTGGTTCGCTGGAAAATATTTGATGGGAAATGGAATTCAAATTCCATGGAAAACAAATTACCAGGAAAATAGATTCCATTGTTTGGTTGGTGGAAAAGAAATTACTGGGAATATGAATTCTATTGTTTGGTTGGGTTTGGAAGGATAAGGAATTATGAATATAAAGACCAATATGCCCTTAACAATAATATATACATGTGTAATTAATAAACTTTGAGGAGGGTAAAATAGTCCAATATTGTAATACTTTCTTCTCAAATCCTTTGAAAAACAAAATACCAATGTCTTGCTAGGATTTTGTTTTCCTTCAACTTTAGGAACTCAACTTCCTATGGAAAAGATTTTCCATCCAACCAAACAACATAAAACAACATTTTCCTACACTTTTAGGAAAACATTTTCCATGGAATTTGACTTCCATCCAACCAAACACCCCCTAGGTGAGAAAAAATTAGGAGTAAGAAGCATTCTCCATTTACAATTCCCCTTAATTGTTAACCAGATGAATTTTTACTCATTTATTTCTATTAAGTCTTTTAATTAAGGTGGAGATATAGATATTAAAGTAATTAAACCCTATAATTTATGTAATTAAAAATGGAGGGGGGAAAAAGCAATTAAGGTTGATTTTGTGTTTACCAACTAGCAATCCCTCCAAACTCTAATTGCATGATGCACTCTATTTACAAACTGGTTTGAGAGCATTTATTTGTTTCTAAAGACATTAAGCTGGCTGCTCCTTTTGATGGTAATAAGCTCACATGAAAGCTCTTACATATAAAATTGCAATACAAAAGCATTGTATCCCAACAATGTTTCACATACAAAAGGATAAACATGCTTCTCAATTCAACTAAGAACACCATTTTTCTATACAAAAACCTGCAAAAGATCCATGAATGTTTGTCTAACGAAAAATTCGTGACACAGATCTCTTTGGAATCTTTCCCTTGAGTTTTAGTCTTCTATATACTTCTCTAACGTGACATCGTCTAATTGGTCCAGTATCATTTCTCTCGGGCATCACTATTCTAGCTGCATAAAGGGGTTATGAGCAATAACCATTGTGTTAATCCTTTATCAGATATACATGGGTGCTATTAGCAGGTAATGAATATCATGGAGCTAAGAAACACACACAACTTCATACATATTTCTATGAGCTCACCAACAAACATTTTTGCAATGCCAGACATCACAATTGTCATAGGTACAGAGATTTTCTGGCTTCCTGTGATACTTACTAGTAGTTGCATAAATAACATAGGCGACAAAAAGGGTATAAATTATCAAATAGCGCATGACTTATGATGCGACAAGTAAAATTATAATTGAGTTAATACCCAAAATCGTCCTCGACTATAGTGGTTTTTCTCAATTTCGTCCTAAACGACTTTGGTGACCTAATATCGTCCCAAACTTTTGTGTTTCGTTCAATTTAGTCCTCCATTTGTTATTCCGTCAAATTGGTGTTAAATAAATGGACAATTCAGTAATGTCAATATTGATCTCTCTTTACTTTCAACTTGTGAAGTGCGGAATTCCTCTTTCTTGTACGAATTATACCCAGAATTACTCCCGGACCTGTGAATCAAATTTTATATTCGCAGTTTTAGGAGTAATTCGTAAAAAAAAAAAAAAAGGAATTTCGCAGTTCACATGTCTATGAGTAAAGAGATGCCAATATTAAAATTATTGAATTGTCTATTTATTTAACACCAAATGGACATAATAACAAATGAGGGACTAAATTGAGCAAAAACACAAAAGTCTGGGACTAAATTGAGCGAAACACAAAAGTGTGGGACTATATTAGGTCACCAAAGTCGTTTAGGACGAAATTGAGAAAAACCACTATAGTCG